CCGACAAGGCAAAAATACATTAAAACTCAAGATGTGTGTATTGAAAATTACGAAGTAAATCTTAAACACTTATTCCCTCGAATAAATTCCAGAATGGATTAAGCATTATTTAATTCGCAATAATAAAAGAAGTCATTATCTTTGTTATTGCGAAGCTTATTTTCTCTAGATTGGCAACAAATCTACTATTTTGTTGTTTCAAATGTAAACAAGAAATGGCCGCCATGAAAAAAATTATTAGGCTTAGCGGCACTAAAGCTACTTTTAAATTGTTGATAATTCTAAAATATTGCATACAGATTTACTAAAGGCATAAAAACCTTAACCGGAAGATAAGAACAACATAATTCAATCATTTTTAAAGCAAAAAATGCACAATTTATGAACATATAAGAATAATAAAACTAGAATCACTGAGCTGAGTAACAGAGTGGAATTCTTGAGCACAAAGGTCTTTTTTAGTTTGTTCTCCTTCCTTTAATTATATATATACATACATATATTTATATACTTTTGGTGCGGCCGATTGCAACCAAAGTATGAGATGCACATCTACATGTTATAGTAGTCCTATATACAAAATCAACGTTCTGAGGCTACTCGTTTTTGAGTTATGCGAGATACATATGTACGTATGCACAGACACCACAAAAAATTCTCTTCAGAGTTCATTTTAAATTAGTTTTACAATTTTTTGGGTGGAAAAGAGTTCTTTATCACACAAAATCATCGTTAAATTGCATTCGAAAGCGGTGAAAATGGATATTTGCATTGAAATATGATGCCTGAAACTTTTCGCGTTTACAATACTTCCTTTTTACTTCGTGCAAGGAAGTCAAAAAGGGAAATAAGCAAATTTTCCATAGCTAATCATAGTTGGAAGTTAATCACAATTTTGATTTTTGGGTCTATGAAAATTATCCTTAAAGCTTCTTCAGGTAGTGAAATGAATTTCCTTGAATCTTTTCACATTCACAAAAATTTACCTTCCTTTGATGGCATTAATTTCAATACAGTTTTTAATATTGCTTTTAAAATTGTAATATCATAATGCTTCATGTTTCATTACTTTTTTCTTCGAAAGACGATGCTACATATACTTTCACATTGCTCCGCTCGTTACTTTCGATATAGATATGATTGTTGCTTCTTCCGTCTTTAAAAAATTTAGTATGCTTCTGTTATGGGTACTGTGTTCAAAAATGTATGTATGGGTGGATGCATGTGCTTATGTATGCATGTATATATGTGCCTATGTATGTATGAGTACACATGTGTGCATAAATGCATATATACATTTTTTAATCTTCTCCCGATAACAGAAAAATACACATAATTTTTTGCTTCTAAAGAATATGATTCGAAATCAGTAGAGTTTTATTTAATATCTGCACCAAAATAAGGTTGCTGTTTCGCCTAATTTTAAGTTCTTTTTTAGTTTCTATAGAAAAATTACTGAGGTGTGAGGGCAATTAAGATTTTTATGTATTTCAGTTATTATGCTTATAGAATTTATGAATTAATATCAAAACTTTCCTACTAATTTTTACTTTTTTAAAGGGAAAAATGTACCTTATTTTTCATTTTAAGTAACTATGTAAAAGTAAATGTGAAAATATAGTCTTTCTTTTAATATTTTGTTCATTTTTAAAATATTAACATACAACATAAAATGGGGCCTATCTTGGGTTTACACTTTCTTTAATCCTCTGAGTGGCATGATTGCCTTTATTTAATCATGAGATTTTTTCTTGTCTGTTGGTATATATGTAAAATATAAAAAAAATACGATGGCTTTGCTCTACGCGAACACACAACCTCCAATTAACTTTCTGCAATTTAGGATCTTCTTCCTAGACCAGTACCTTCTAGAACAGTGCTCCGCAACCGGTGTGCCGCGGCACACTGGTGTGCCATGAGTAGGATATAGGTGTGCCGCAATCAAATACATGTATTTGACATTTTGCAATTTTTTATCATGTATTTAATACACAATGACAATTTTTTCCCCTTAATAATGTCTATTTTAAATGTTTTTATATATTTCACTGTTGTGTGGTTGTGTGTGTCAGCATTTGAATTTTTTCGACACTTCCTTGATAACTCGGAACTCTTTGGTGTGCCACGAAATTCTAGAAAGATTTTTTGTGCATCGCAGGTGAGAAACGGTTGCGGAGCACTATTCTAGAATATGCTAGCCTATTACGTAACTACTACTATAAATACTGAGTATGCACCATTTTTTAGTCAGACTGCTTCCTGATATTGATGCTGCAAAACTCTGCGCCGCTCTGTCCATCTTTCTTTCTTTGTTAGAAATAATGATGACGCAGAAAGTTTAAATTCAATGATACTTAGTTAAAATCATTATGGATATGTAATTTAGAGAGTTTTCATCTAAAAGGAAAATGATATGCTAATTAGATTAAATAAAAATGTGTGATTAAAAGCTAAATCATCGTCTTGTCTCATTTGGATTTCACCTTACCACTCTGCAAAAGCAATGCCTGAACTTTGATGCCAAGCTTCCTCACGACTGCTGTAAAATATCACATATATTAGTTTATAATTTAATTAGAAACTAACATAAAGTTAAATAAAATTAAATAATTCTCTTGCACCATTGTTGCAAGGAGTGAAATTTGAATTTAACAAACACAAAAACATTATCACATTCATATAAAGCTATTGTAATTTTTAAAATTATGAAAATTCAATTGTAAACAAATAAATAAAATATTAATTATTACTGCAAACTAATTTGCAGTATCATTCAATTCAGACAGCATATGTAAATTAAGTTTAAGCATCTTAATACATGAAAAAAATTTAATAATCCCTAAATTAATCCTAAAAACTGTAAAGAATTTTTTTAAGATTAAATTATGTTGCATAAGGTGAATAACTGTTGAGCAGGCAGATCTTTTCAAGGGAAAGTTGCCCCTAAACCTAGCTCTTCAATTACTCAATTCGTGTTTTGTCAATTATATAGGAATGGATAAAGAGTTATTTAAAACCAAAAGTGGTGAATTGCCAAAATTAGAAATTTAACTTTAAAGGAAGTGAAGATTTTTATCTTTTTTTATTTTCCTTAACTTTGGCCAGTATTTAGTTAAAGTTTTAGTTTAATTATGTTTTAACTGTAATTTAAATACAGTTTTAATAAATTTAGATTTTTAAAATTCTTCAATTTTTCTATTTTTTTTGTTTTTCTTTTTTTTTTTTTTTTTTTTTTTTTTTTTTAATTTTGCAAATTTATTTTTTTTTACTTATTTTTTTACTTTTTTAATCAGTTTTTTTCTCTTTAAAATTTTACATTATTAGAGTTTGCAGCTATGTTTTCACAATAGATTTTTTACACTATTTTTTTCTACTTTTTTTACAATTAGTTTGGCCCTTTAATTTTTGTATTTGTTAATTTTAATTATTTTTTTTTTTTACATTATTTTTTTCAATGTTACAATAATTTACATTTTATATTTACAATAATGTTTTGTCAAATTAAATAGTAACTTTAGTAGAGCTTTTCCTATTTTTGTAGTTTTTAAATTTATTTAGTTTATTTTTCTATATTATTTTACTAATAATGTCTAGTTCTAAACTTTTTTTCTCTGGAAATTAATTAATTACATTAGTAATGTACTTTAATTAATGATTTGTCTTATTAGTGAATTACTAAATTTCTTGAAATTCTTTTAAACTTCTAATTTTGGCAATTCACCACTTTTGGTTTTGCTTTTAGTTTTGAATAATTCTTTACCCATGCCTATATGGTTGACGAAACACGAATTGAGTAATTGAAGAGCTAGGTTTGGGGGCAACTTCCCCTTGAAGAGATCTGCCTGCTCAACAATTATTCACTTTATGCAACATAATTTAATCTTAAAAAAATTCTTTACAGTTTTTAGGATTAATTTCGAGATTATTAAATTTTTTTCATGTATTAAGATGCTTAATTTACATATGCTTTCGGAATTTGTATGATATTGCAAATTAGTTTGCAGTAATAATTAATTTTTATTTGTTTGTTTACAATTGAATTTTTATAATTTTAAAAATTAAAATAGCTTTATATGAATGAGATAATGTTGTTGAGTTTATATTTAAAGTATTTTGTTTTCTTGCTTACTCTAATTATTAAATATCATCTTAATAAATCGAAGTTTATGAAAACATATTAAAATAAGTTTAATACACAAATTTAGCTGTTAAATGCGGTTTCAAGACAAGTGTTTATGAGTAAGTCTGAAAACTATGCTACTCAAAAGGTTAAATAGCATAACATGTTTTCTGGCTTATAATAGTGTATCCTGATCTGTAAGTTAAGATGGTTTCATTCTCATGTTATTTTACTGCAGAATTCTTTCATTAAATGAAATTTATTGGAAATTAGAGCAATAAAGGAGGCATTTTTCCCTTCTCTCCAAATGAAAAGCAAGGCATTTTATATATTTTCTGTAGTTTGTTCACTGCATTTCTGATATCACATTTCTTTCATTAAATTTAAAAGTCATTTACTTAACTATTCTATTCCTGTTCACTTTTATGTAATTTTTTAGGGCATACCATTTATTTTCCATTTGTAATCAGTAAAACAGACATACATACATTGAAATTTCATCAATAAATACTGTGTTTTAGAAGTCACTTCCCATTAATGGATCATTTCTGAATTGTCTTGCCTTCAAAATAGAAGACTAATGTATTCTTATTTAGCATACACCCTGAAAACAGACAAAAGATTTGTCCTGTAAACATCTAGTTATGGAAGGTTTCATTGTCTTTCTTTCTTTTTTTGCGATATCTGTCTTTATTGTGTATGCAGGTATATTTTTGTCCCCGTTTTTAGAAATAGTGCTTAAATTACAGCTCTCTATCTGTAACAAGTTTGGTAAAATAGTATTATATCTCAATCAATCTTTGTAAGTACTCTGCTGTTTCATTATATTGTTTATTGTAATAGGTTATTTCTTATTATTTTATCATTATATATATTTCAGGATTTTTAGCTACTGGTGATGGGAATTCTCCTGGTAATTATGGTATTCTTGATCAAATTGAAGCCTTGCGATGGGTTTATGAAAACATAGGTGTATTTGATGGAGATAATAGCAGAATAACTTTAGTTGGCTCTGGTGCAGGAGGAGCAAGTGCAGCACTTCTAGCTTTGTCCCCTTTATCTAGAAGTAAGACTGATGTTCGCCTATTTATACAATTTTAGTAATAATTACATTTTATAAAATTGTTTTTATTCTTATGATTTTAAAGTATTTAAATTAATGTAATATGGATTTTAATTTAATGCATGTATTAAAAATTGTGAAATAATTGCAGGAATGGTAAAGAGAGTAATATCACAGAATGCATCTCCTATAGCTGACTGGGCTGTTATAACAGATCGACTTTTCATGTTTAATACAAGTCAGATACTTGGAGAAGAAGTGGGTTGTTCAAATCATGATCTATCTCTGTTGGTTCATTGTATTGGTACAAGAACGAATAATGAAATCCAGATTATTAAAATAAAGGTACCATTTATTAATTTCTTTATTTCTTTCTTCCAATTTTCATTCTTTAAAATTTTTCATTTAATTTTTACCCTGAGGATATTGTCATTGAATATTTTTTAAAATTGAAAATCTACATGCTTGACAATATGTAAATGTATCAGCCAGCACGAAAGTATGATTATGATTAAGGGATTTACCTTTGTGATGATAGATAATTATTGAAAATAGGATAAGTCTGTGTGTAATTAATCAAATGTGCATTAGTCAGTTTTGTATAAGATTAACATATATTTATCTAAAAGCTGATGATGATAAGTAGTTAAAAAACAGTAAAAGGATCTATCTGTATTTTTGAAATGGTAGGAAAAAAAGTAGATTATCTGTAATAAATGTAAATAACGATGCACAGACTGATTGTAGTATTAGCTATAATGGATAACTGAATGTGTTAAGCTTTGTTTAGGTCCGATGAATGTATTCGATTTCTCAGCCAGTATCAAATCAGTCAATATTTCATCATTCTAGAGTAATAAGATAGATATGAAATAAATCATCTGATGTAGTGTTTTTTAGATGCTCAGTAGGGTTCGTACGGTCTTTAAAAGTCCTTAAAAGTCCTTAATTTTTTCCAAAATCAGTAGAAGGTCCTTAATTTTAATCATCTGAAATTTCTCTCTGTTTATACTACTGCCGTTTTGAGTGTGAATTAACATTTTGGAGGAATATTTTTGGTAATTCACTGACGTATATATGGTTATCTTTTGAATGGGTTCATGGGTTATAATTTGTTTCTATTTCTAATATAAATGATGGGATACTCGAGTTTCTAAGCAAGAAGTGAAACATAAGCATTTCGTAATTCATTTTTTCTAATAAAGAGCTCATAAACAACTTTTCGCGTTTGGAGTTGTGAATTCTTTTATTAAATGGTTCTAAATTTGACAACTTGTTAACAGTTTGATGATTTTAAGATCAGTTTCTATAGAAAAATTTTAATTCCGAGATCTGAGAATTTTCCGGCGATTTTTTTAAAACATCATAACATTGAAAAATTTCATTTAAATAATGGTAATATATTAGAATTATATTTAAAAAATAACATTAAAATAAAACATTTTTATTTTTTGCTGTCATATTATAAAGTTTCATTTTGGCAACTTATTATACAATATTTTAAATCTGAAAAATAAACAAGGTATATAGCTATAAAGCATAATTTACGAAACAGCTCTTAGTAAAAACAAAATTAGCTATGTAATTAATTAAAATGTCTTTCTAATTTTTTTCATAGTAAGCGTTTTTCCGATGTAATTGTCTCAGATTATTCAAAATTCTCAGAATATGCATCAGTTTTCTCTATAAAATTTATTTTACACTTTTTCCTTCCTTTTTTTTTTTTCAAAATATTTCTGGCTTTTTGCTGTTACAGAATTGGTTGGGATAATTTTTCTTTAGTATTTTTGACATTGCAGCATGGAAAGTTTAGAAGGATTTGAAGGCAAGATTTATAGACCCACAATTCTAGAAGATTCGAGAAATACGTGACAAAATGAAAAATATCTCCATGGTATCAACATATCAACACGTAATAGATACATTTTGCAGAAAGTTTGCGATGAATTTCTTACTTTTTGAAGAACGTCTGGAAGAACAATGGAAACATAATATTTGAATGTTTTACTCCTGATACTGGAATCATTTTCTTAACATGTTTATCTTCCCTTTATTTTCTCTACTTTTCACTAGACAAAAGCATTGAAAATATCAAAAATGCTTCTAATCTTATGACTTGGGCAGGCATTATAGAAAGAGATTTTTTTATTAATAAAGAAATTGAAAACTTACAATTTAAAATATTCATCTATTGTGTCTAAATGCATTGTACACAGAACTGGTGCTATGCATTTTCCCACCTGATGCAATCTCTGTGTATCCTAAATTCTCCTGCCTAGTGCCTATCTAAATTTTGCTTCCAATGCCTGCTCTAAATTCTAAAAGTTTTGCCATTTCTAGATTTTGTTGTTCTGTGTGTCACTAAATTCTAAAAATTCTGCCACACCTGCTCTGTAACCTACCTTTACCATATATATTTCATATTTCTTCTGAATGTTGATATTACTAAAAGAAATAAAATTAGCAGCTTTTTCTGTACATTCTAAATGCATTTAGTGTTTTTTTAGAATAACAGAAATCCTTAATTAAATCCAATAATTCTAAAATTAAAAGGAAACACGTTGAAGAAAGAAACCAAATACATAAAGAAAAGTATTCTTCAAAGATATGTGCAGTTATTATTACGTAAATTACCCAATTGTTTATCATTTCAGCCTTTACTATAACTTCCCATTTCTGTTTCCGCATATGATACAGTTACTGAGCCAAATTAAATTTAAATTAAATTGTATTATCTTTGACCACTAGTCCACATTTTTAGTTTGAATTTGACTGTTCTTGTTTAATTACTTCACCATGAGCTGTAATTGACTTTTTTAGCATCAGAACATGTCTTTATGTTCTAAGTTCTTTGTTTGATATTGTAGTTACTTTCAGATACAGTGATAATTTGCTTCACGTCTATCGGGGGGAGGACTATTTAACTTTAACCAGATCATGTAAACCCTCATAGATACATTGTGAAGAGATTGACAAGTTAGGAGAAAAGCACACGGAAACTAGCGAGAACATTGATTTGCATAGAGACAAATTTCTAATTATTGTCAGAAAAGATCGATAATTAAAAAGAAGAAAATCGATATAAACTAGCCAAAATGTTTGAGAAGGCTTGTAGAGACATTAGGTATTTTTTAAAGCAGGAACGATAAAAAATTAACAACGCCTTCGCCGTGAATCGAACAGCGGACCTCTGGAATACCGCTACCAGTGTGCAAACCACTACACCACGAAGGGTCGCCAAGAAGGTGGGAGAAATACCTTATATACTCCCCCTTTTAAACGGCGACTGGGGTTTTCAGGGAATCCAATCGCCAAATCCTTTGTGTGGAGAACTCATCAAGTAACCATCACCCATCAAATAACCATCAAGTAAAACTTATTCTTTGCATCTACTGAGACATATATAAAACAACTTCACCTCTGGCACTTTAATGGCTTATTGGAACCTTAACGTATGTTATGTGGGTTACAACCCCTGGAACTCTATACAAAGCTATGACATTAACTGCATTAAGCAGAGCTTGACTAACTTTCAACACTTGCCAACTGTGCCTACATCAGACCTTTCAGATTTGTTCCAATCAGCAGGTCTCTCTATAGACAAGCAGCAGAAGGACAACATTCAATCTTTTGTTATGAATCATGCTGATTATGATCTCACTTCTCATTTTAACCTATGGCGTTTGACATAAAATCTCCCTACTATTTGCTAAACCTCTAGACTGACCAAGTATGTGACAAAATGAGACATTTAAAAAAAAAAAGGCATAAAGCTAACTATGAGTAAAACGTAAATATCTCTTATCATCTTTTGAATATGTCCAACTATTATAAGTGTAAAATATTTAATGCTACTTGATAAACTGCATGAAATTTATTTTATTCTCAAACTTATTAATAATTAAGTTAGTTAATTCATGTCTAGTAATAATGCATACTACTTAGGGATCTATTTTATTTTTAGGATGGTATTACAAAAGTGAAATTCGAGCATAGACTAATATTTTTAATTGAATTTATTCAGTTTCCATTTGCTCATAGGTCCTTAATTTTTTTCATTAATGGTCCTTAAAAGTCCTTAAAAGTGCTTAATTTTGTGTGCAGAAATGTGTACGAATCCTGGTAGAGACAACATCTCATGCTTTGGAAACTCTTTATCTACGACAAAAGAAAAACTTTTAGGAATACTGCTTTCTAGTTTCTCGAGTAGTGATCTCCAAATTTTTTTTTGATTGTGCACCCAATAAAATGAAAATAATTATAAGTCAATCTCAGTTATAATATAATGCAATATAATACATGTGATGATTTTATTTTGTTGTAGATAATTTGATATTAAATGAAGGCTTGACTAATAAAAATACCAGTTCACATTTTTAATCATGCTGAGAATACTGTTGCCTATATAATGACTATCTGGAAATCACAACTGGCTTAATGGTTAAAAATAGTATAACACAATTTTTAGTTTTGAATAGGAGCAGTTCTTTATAAATGCATTTTTTCTTAATTGGTATAACACTAGGGGTGCTATAAACACAATTTTGTATATGCAGTTACATTTGAAACATTAAAGCTTAGTGAAGAAACATGATTTAGCAGGACAGAAGAACTGCTTAGTAAGTAGCTGGCAGTATGTAAAGGCTTAGATCCTTTGTTTCAATTCTGAGCAGAGATTGGGCAAGAGCTTTCGCCATGCAGAGAAAGTAGTGACATTAAAATGGTGCAATACAGATTGTTGAAGAGGGACTTATTTAAACTGAAAATATAAATTTGAAGGGCTATTGCCAATTAAGTTATTTGTTCCAATTAAATTTAATTTGTTAATAATTTTCTTTCATATTTTTAGCTTTTTAAACAAAGTTTTGAGAGGGGGGAAAGGAAAAAAAAAATATTAGAGAGCAAGCAGAGGAACAGAAATATTGTACTATATTTACAATTCTAATGAGAAAGCAAAAGAATTGCTTCAAGGACATAGCTTTTTATGTTTCACTATGCCCCATGATTTAGTTCATGAACTTTCTCATATCAGAATATATATTAAAAAAGTGTGATTTAGAAATATAATAACAAGCTATTATATGTTTATAAATTGAATTAGATTCTGATTTGAAAATTTCTAGAATATAAATTTGGGGAGTTCATGAAACATTTTCTCTGAATAGTATAAAAATATTTTTAATTTGGAGTATCGATTTTTCCTTCAAACAGTTGAAAATATTCAGATTTCATGAAAAGTATCTTGATAATCACAAAGGAAACTTTGTATTTTTCACCGGGGTCACCTTCCTCTGGCCATAGTATCAGCAGGGAGTGTTATGTCACTTACACACACATACACAAACACTGTACGCACATTTAATTTTTTTTTATTAATATTATTTAGGATACGTTTCTGTTTGTTAAATTTCTAAGCTATAACTTGAGTATATAAGTTATTCATTGTAACTTGAATTTTTGTATATTTATTTTTTATTTCAAGTACGTAATGTAAAGGAATTTTTATGTCCGTAAAGCTGAATTGAAACTTTGATTTTTTTCATTCAAAAGCCATTTTCCTTGCATAAGGAATGGAGTTTTTTTATGTGTAGTTGTGTTTAAACATCCCACAGCCATCAACAAGTAATTATGCTAATTCGCTTGTCACTCACTAACCACTAGTTCTGCCCACTTTTTATCAAATTTTATTTTGTTTTTATTTCACATTAATTATTATCTTGCTGTAAATAATAACATCCTGTCTGAATATGTTAGATATAAAAATATGAGGGAAAATTATTAACAAATTAATTGCCATCTGAGTGTTCCTGTTTTAAAACTGCACCAGAGTTTCTATAAATGCATTTACAAATACATGACAGGGCTATTTTGGATTAAACAAAGTTAAAATAGGTCTTTAAATTAATTGTCTTTTAAATTTTGAAAGGCTGTTTAGCATTCAAGCATCTACTTATATGGAGTATTTTTTTAAGTACATTTGTTAGAGATGTTCTAATTTCTGCATAATTTGGAATAAATTTAAGATGTACAATGATGCTTCCCCAGAAATCTTCGTAATTCTTTAACATTTTTAGGAAGTTGTTGTTTCTTAATAACTTCAATATTTGAATATTGAAAGTTGATATTTTCCTGCTTGAACTTAATATCCTATAAAATTTACTGTGCAATCTTCAGCAAAATCCTTAAATCTTCAGTAAAGTGGCACTGTTTTAATTTTATATTTTCTTTTGTACATAGGTCAAATATTATTTTAAAATGTTCTAAAAGGTTTTAAGAATTTTGGGAACATACTATAATGTTGTCAAAATAATTTAAAACAAACTGACTTTGATATTTATTTAAAATTTGTATAAGGGCTCTTTGAAAAACAGCTGGGCAAATTTTCCAACCTAAACGTAATCTATTGAATTTATGAAGACCAAAATTAGTTTTAAATGCTAATTTCTCAGTATCTTTTTCATTTAACTTTATATGCCAATAATCGTATGCTATATCTAAGGTAGAAAACACTTTTGTATTAATTTATTGATCTAGTACTGCATCTATTCTAGGTATGATTTAAGAGTCTGTTTCAGTAATTAAGTTTTCTGCAGTCAACACATAATCTAGGTTTTGCATTTTCATCTCTTTTAGGCTAAATTAACAGGGTTTTTAAATTTCATTATCATCTTTAGGGAATACTCTGTCTGACTGGTAGCTCTAAAATCAACATTACTGTTGGATGTTCAGTTTAAATATAACCTAGATCATATTTATTTTTAGCACTATTATTTAACTATATGACTATAGTTGTTTAATAATTCTTTCAACTATATTTTCACACTTATTATTTTCAGCATGATTAGCATAATCATTTCCATTTTGAGTATTTTCACTTAGATACAAGATATTATTTTTAAAAAGATTTTTAAACATGCATCCTTACTTATATTTCTGTTAAATTGATACAAGTCATAATCATTAAAGTTCAGTTGCAGTTGAAATAAGGGAACACAAGATGAATGCAAGATGAACACAAGGTAAACAACTCAGATGAGAATTAACATAAAAATATGTCTTTCCTACTTAGTCTTCTAACTTTGCATGAAAATTTAATTAATTTAGAGATTGAAGGACTCCTGTATAAACACAGTAACTTTCTCGAAGTTTCTGTTTGAGTAATTTCAAAATTATCAATATAACTTAAAATGTTTTCAGAAATTACATTAACCTGACTACCTGTATCAATAATAGTAGGAAAGTTACTGTTCCCTATCATAACTTGAAAACTGTTATTTGTCGATAAATCTAAACAATCTAAGTTTGATTTTGATAGAATGAAGGTTGATGGTAATTTAAAGTCGGATATTAGGGATTTAGATATATATTAATTGAGATGGCTGAACATATCTCCAGACCGGATTTGGAGGGAAATAAGACCTAGAGTAAAATGATCTTGGAGTAGGATATCTTGGATACTTAAAATATGGATGAGAATTTTGCTGGGGAACTGAATTGAGATGGAATTGGGATGAGGATTCTGAAAAATGAGTTTAACTGAATTGGGATGAAGATTTTGCCTGGGCGCATTATTTGTGTTTTGTGCTTCTTTAGATGAGCTTGAAGTTAGGAATAATTTTCATGCTAGCATAATCCAGTTTGGAAGGGAAGTTACGTTTGGTACAGATAATAATATAGGATGTTGCTGTGGTAAACCTTGAGAGAGCAGTTCTATTATAATTTAGTCACTTAATTTCAAAGCAGACCCTAATTTTAGTTTCTGTCTAAAATACTTATTTGTGCTCTTAAATTTATTGTGAGTGACTGAGACAAAAGCGTCAAATTTAACGTGTTTAGAAATAGGAAAATATGCTAGACATTTATCTTTTAATAGATCCTAATTGTCTATTTTGACACAACCATGAATATATAGTGTCTGTGCTTCTTCTTTTAGGGATTTGGAAATAAGGCTAATCCTCCCCCCACAGGAAACCTTTTTAGACTGCAGCATTTCTCAACGAATGTTAAATATTGATTAACAGGTTGGGTTTTGTTCTTTGCAATTGCCGATCAGTACTATTTCACTTGTGCTCAATGACTGACAAGTCTGGAGATATCTCAGTCCATAGTAGCTTGTCAAATTCATGCATGCTATTTGCAATAACATAAGCAACATTTGTCCAGTATTATATTGAAAAATAGCTCCTGAGACACCTTATAGAAATGATCATATCACTGGTTCTACAACGGAATCAGTGTTGAGCTTTCATTGTACTGAGAGGAACGACCAGAGAGCCATATATCTTACATTATGCTGTTCCACACCGTTATTCCAAGACCAAGGCCATTTTTTTATGAAGGCTTATTAATGGCTTTGGTCACGTGGTTTCCGATCAGTCTCCAGCAACTGTTGCTTCCAAGACAAGAGCGAGATTCATCATCAAAAAAGATAGTTTTTCAGTCTAACCCCCAATGCTAGCTGGATGTACAGTATGACAATTTTTGAGAAAAGTGATAAGGAGTCACTGGAACACCTGGTGCTGGTCTTTGGCTTGTAGTTCAATATTGTTCAAATATTTTCTGATGGGTTATACGGATGCATTTCTGGGTCTTAGTAAGTGATGTCCAGATTTACTTGCAGTAAAGTAAGGATTGTTATGCACTCATCCTCATAACCAACAATCCATCCAAGTCAAAATTCATTTACAGCCATTGCATACTGTCATTTCAGTTCATTGTTCTTGGAACTACTGGGATATGCACTGGTAAACAAAAATATTTTACCCCAATTGTGTGCCAGGATGATATACCAGCATTTTTGAGTTTGAGGATTCTGTGTATCTTTGATAGCTAATGATAAATGACATTTTGACAAAATTGTGCCATTGCATTGTCAAACCCTTAATTCGATATCTAAAGTCTCATGCTGGCTCCTTTCCCTCCAAAAAAGTTACATTTCCTTTTGTACTATTTAATCTTCCAAGTAGCCAAGAGTTTTTGCTCATAAAACCCTAAAGTTCCTCAAAGGGCTAGAAGTAAGTGATATTTTCTTGTTTATCATTCCAGACTATTCCCCTCATTTTGTGCCTTGACCACTTTTTGTGTTATTTATATATACCGCTATAACTATGTGGACACATTTCAAGATGCATATATGTGTATTTAAAGATATCATGAATAATATTTTTGAACATACGTATATGGCTTGTTCACTTGGAGGATTAAGCCCTTCCTCTGTCTCACTGATCAGAACTATAGATTCTTCAAAGTTTGATCCTTTACCATATGGCTTTTCCTTTTTGGTGTTACAATTTTAACGTTGAGTACTACATAATCTTTTTATTATCACCTTTTAATTCTATGTTATCAATAAATAAATCTTATCTTTATTACATATAAAGCTTTATAATTTCTGTTATTATTTAAAATTGATTCAATCCGAGAATGGATATAGAAATTCTAATTGTCCTTTTGTTTCTAATACTGTGATTTGTAACTGTATTTTATTCAAAGAATATTTGGTTTCATATAGCCTAGAAAAGGTTGGCTACCTTGGGGTCCAGTTATTGACAATTACACCAGACGTGGAGAAGAGCAGTTGTTACCTTGGGCTCCAAAGGAAATGCTAGAAAGACGTGTTGTTTTCAATGATGAATTTGCATATATGACTGGTATCAGTCGGGATGAAGGTGTTTCAATATTTTGTAAGTTTATATTTTAATTTTTATTTAGAAATTATTTTCTTATAATTTTTAAAATGTTTGTATTTATTCATTTATTTATGTATTATTTTTATTTATTGATGTATTTATTATATTTTTAAAATTCATTCATTTATATATTTATTTTTGTTAAATAAATAAAATGTATTAAAAATCTATTGCTATTTTTGATGTACTATCTCTTCCCTGAAATGGATTAGATCATGTAGTAAGAAAATGTTGCAAAAACTTCCTTGTAGTGCAAAAGGATTGCAAGTGAATGATATTTAAGAAGCCCGTATCTACATGCTTGATCTTAAAATGAATAAAGGTCCACTACTATTTGACTTGGTAAGACTTCAAAATATTAGGAATTTAATCCAGGCAAATTTAGTCCTGGGTGTGCGAGGTTTTCATTGACTTGACAATATTCAATGCCAGTATGAGAAATTCCTAATGAAGTCATCTCTCCTCTTAGGCAGATTGTCATCATGTGCTAATCAAGTATTCAAACAATTATGATAATATATAGTAATTTCTTTATTAGTTCTCTGAGTCATATTTCTTATATTAGTTAATTATTTTTTTCATGTGTGTGTATTACAGTGGAAGATTATCAAAATCCCAGTGATTTAGAAATAAATGAAGAGAAGTTCATTCAGAAGATTAAGGATTTTATGAGAATGTATAATTATACTGTAAATTCACAGGGTATTTTTGATGCAATAGAATTTATGTATAAACCATCTGTTGACGTCGTTAACAAGAATTTAAGGGAAGCCTATATACATGTGAGTACTTTTATACATTAAATATAATTTATGTAACTAGTTTTATTATTCACAGAAAATAATATATTTTTATGCCATGCAGTTATTTAACATAGTGTAAGAAATCATAGCAATGCTTTTTAATGAAATGCGGTAAGTAAATGAAGGTAAATAAATAACATACCTGCAAAGGTATTTAAAGTTCCAGCAGGTGTAAGGCATATTTGCATTAAAAATTTGACAAGTGTGGTTTGTCAGACTTCTGCCTAGTCCTTTTGGGATGGGCATCTCATATACGCTTCGATCGCCAACTGCATCTCATAGCCAGGTGTGTCATATATGAATCACCATTTAAATTGTCTCTTAGAATTACCACATATGAATAGGTATATCATATATGAATTTTTAGGTAAAACATTTTATTAGTATCAAGATTGGATGATGCCTTCCTTCATTCTGTTACAGTAATTTAAAATATAAAAAATAAAAAATACTGATTGAAGCAGAAATCATGGATTGAGTAATGTAAACAATGAAAGCTAGCTGCTAACTACATCACCTGATCACATGGAGAAGTTCTTGATGCTTCTGAATACTTTTGTTTTTAATTTTGATGATATGGGGACTATATGTCCTATTGTTTTACAGGTTTTATTCATTCCTCTTGGAGTTTGGCTGGAATTGATATGAATATTTAAGTGAAATATATTTGATGCTTCAAATGGTAGTGGAAATATAATGATAAAGTTTGAAAATTAATTCTGACAACTTCATGAATGTTCTGTCATAATGAGCCAAAAATTGGAACAGTTGGACAATATGCAATTTTTTTCCCAAGGTTAGAATTAGCAGCACAAATTGCCCATCCCAACAAGGCAGTACATCCTTTTAACGTGCCATCCCAAATGAACAGTTCATTCACTAAGGCACCTGTTGCAAAAGGATTAAATCTGTTTTGAATATATTAAGCATTTTGATTCAAAATTTCAAAATGGTGAATACTTTCAAAATTTTGTAAATGTATCATATTTATCAAAAATTAATGCAAAATTGAGACAGATAATTTCAAACATAAGGGGAGGTGGGGGGAAGTATAGTTGCATGAATCTAATTAGAAAGTGCTTCTGGGAAATAAGTTCTGTTTTGTTAAAAAAAAAAAAAAAAAAAAAAAGAGAGAGAGAGAGAGACCACAAATGTTTTTTCAAGCCAATTTTATTTTTATATAAATGTCATTTCTGAAGCTATTTTTCTACATAGCTTTTACCAGTGTTGAGACATTTGTCGAAACAGGTGACCAACCTTCTTCAAAGAAGTTCTGGCCAGTCATGACAGCTGTATCTTTACAGTGTTTTTGTTGTTGTCACTTTGAAAGTGCTGAAATCCAAGGTGACACTTCATGTGCAGAAACAAAAGGTAGTCAGATGATGCCACATTAGGACCGTAGGGAGGGTTCTTGAACTGATGCCAACCAAATTCCTTTTTTCCTTTTCCAATTTCACTACAGTGTGAGGCTGAGTGTTATGGTTTAGCAAGATAATTCCTTGACTTCACACTATTCTCCTTTTGTTTTGCATTGCATGCTGAATTTTTCAAAGTCTGACAGTACTGAGCAACATTAACGATTTTACATCTAGAAGAAAGTTCAATGCGCAGAATCCTTATGCTTGGAGCATATGCTTGGAGCACTATCACTAGTGCTGTGGCAGCGAAAGAACAGAATAATACTGACTTCTCAGATATGCCTTCGGTAACAATGATAGTATCAATGATTTCTCATGACTTTTGCTCCAGACAATTTCCGAATCACTTTTTTAAACTTTTTGCCATAAAATATTTGTTTGTGCATTGCTGTAGTGACCTAAACTGAAGGAGGCAGTACTGGGATTCTCAAGCAGATAAATTAGAATTTTCTGTTATAAAGCTCTTTTTGAGTCACTCTTGTAATGTATGATTTAGTATTATCCTGTTGAAAGATCATGTTAGGTGTTCTGATTTATGCAGATCATTTCATATTTAAAACCCATTTTAGACTATCTAAGTGATAACAATGCATATTTGCATTAATGGTTTGGTTATTTTCAACCATTCAAACTAAACCGCACTATCCATACCCCATCATATGCAAAGGAAAACCTTCTTTGGATGCAATCCCTTTTTTTTTTTTTTTTTTTTTTTTTTTTTTTTGTAACTCGCCTTCTTTTATGAACTCAGCCTCTGTTCATTTCAAGCAATGTTTTTAGTTTCAAGCAATTTACACAATTAACTCTTTTTACATTTCTTATCACTATACTTTTTTTTTAAAAAAAGGAGTTATTTTTTTTAATTTAATTAAATCAATTTTTTTTTGGCATAAAAAGAGCATATTTCATTTTTTTACAAACGGTGAAGTAAAAATTGATAAAAGTTTAAAAAAATTAAAAATATAATTGTCATGATTTGCTAAATTTTTGTAATTGTTATAAATTTGTTCATCTTTTTTGCCTTTTTTATACATAAATTTTTGTTTGTATGCACAACAGGGATTAATATTATGCATTTATTTTTTTTATTTCATATGTTATTTTTTGTTATTTTTCTTTTTTGTACTCTTGCTTTTAAACTTTACTGAACTGCAGATTTTGTTACCACTTGCAGATGCTCACAGATCGTTATTATGTTGCACCTCTTGCAGAGACATTACAGCTCATGATTAAGAACAGAGTTACAACATATGCATATGTTTTGAATTATACATTCCAGGGGTATTCAACAATTCTGAAAGGTGAAATTAAGCATACTCATACTTTTATATTAATTTATCTATGATGCTTCATAGTATTGAAAGTTATAATCTAAATTTTTATCATGTTGTTTTAGAAAATATTATCTTGCTTAAAAACATAGCAGTTCAGTTTAGTGTTTTAGATGTAATTTAAATTGTATGTTAATTTACAAAATTTTATTAACTTATAATATTTGATGAGAAGATCCTAAATTTACACATGATAAAGTAAAGATTGTGATATTAACCCTCTCGCTGCGTATCTCACGATTTCCATGCGTAACGTAGAAGTAGCAAAATTTGCACAACCCGTGATTTAAATGGGTATGCATTTTTTCTGTCTGTTTAAACTTTGCAACCCGCTCTTTTCCTGTTCATGGTTTCATTTTGGCTTTTCCGTGATGTTTAATTGTTTATTCAGATCTGAGTTAACGGATGGCATTAGTTGTCCATAATTTTGCAAAACATGCAAGTATGTTTTGTACCATTTTACACGCTCTTTTCAAAGATGTCTGGCAGAAAGCATTTCTCGAGTGATACAATCTGCATTCATGACAATAGTTTTGATAGTGCTAGTAGTTCTGACTCTGATTTCAAGTACACTGACCTCCAAAAGTTAAGGAACAGCATGTTGTTTGTGTCTAATTTGAGAATGAAGCAACATAGAAACCAGAAATTTAGAGGACATGTTCATAAACAGTTCTTTAATAAATGTGATAGGGAATGTTTCTAGAGTTCCACACAAAAATGAATTACAACAAAAAATTGCACTCTTGGGAGAGAGTTCCAGTCTTGGAGAAACTGTATATCACAGTTTTTTGAGGAAAAATCCAATGGTAACAAAAATGGGTTTTAATAAGGGATTTGTCCACTCATAGCTGCAATACATTTGCGGTAAGGACACTCCATGCTGTCAATTAAGTTGTCGGTCAGTGAAATGGGAAGCAATGACTACATACTGAGTAATCCTTGTTCAAGCTCGTCTATCGACCTTGGAGGAGGACTTAAAACAGCAGCCTATCTCCCAAGGTAGTTAGTTCCAAAGATGCTGTATCGGATTCAGGTCTGGGGATTGAACTGGCCATTCCATCTGCTCCCTACCATTACCTTCAAGATATTCTGCAGCAATCGCAGTCGAGCGTTGTCGTCCATCAGAAGAAATCCAGGACTAATAGCAACGGCATATGGGCGGACATATTGATCAAGATCTCGTCTCGATATCTCACAAGAAGAGAACAGACACCTTTTGTTGACTGGTTCAGGATGCATGTTCTCTTGCCCAACATAAACAGGCACCTCTGTGTCCTCGAGTCATTTGCATAAATCGCCAAATTTGGCGACCCTACTTATGGCAACCTTATATTAATTTATTAAAGCGAGGTGTGCGTAGTTCGTAGATTCGTTCGTTGCCTACATTGCGCCATTCGTAGATGTTTCAGATGGTGAATCATACTCCCGGAAATAGCTTTTCCCCCTTTCCCTGCATTAACATAACCTTTGGAATTGTGAAAGCAATAGAAAATTCCGGTACATTCGGCATTCTTTTCCTGCCACCCAAATACTACACACGTTTGAATTTCTATCAAGATCTTAATAATTTGCATTCTCGTTCCGCTTGGTCAATTCATATTAGTGTTTATTATGATCATTATGCTTATATTATGAGCATGTATGAATGTTTATAATAACATATTTGCAGTAACTGCTGAAGTATAGATAAACTTCCAAAAATGGATGTGTTTTAACACAGATTAGCTTTTCTAAAGGAATAATATTCGGAAATGGCTTAATTAAAGGGAAAGTAATCGAAATAGTCAAAATAATTTCATTTTTTTTTTTTTTTTTTTCTTTGCCAATGCATTATATACAGTACGGAAGGTTGGGAGGTTCTCCCCTTTCGCCGCAAAATCTCGAATATTGAAACTGTTACAGTTCGCTGCAAAACAAGCAACGGACCCTTTTTTTTTTTTTTTTTTTTTTTTTAAATCACTTTTCAATCTGGATTGAATAGGACTAAAAGTTCTGCGGTCTACCAACCCAAGCGAAGAATGATTCTATTCCGGAAATTTAACGCAATCTGTTGAAAATTAGAATGAAAAACATCCCAGATTGGTAAGTCTCTTTCTTTTCCTTTATTTAGTTCTTTATTCTCCCAATATCGGCAGCTCTTGAATCCGATTGCATAACATCACGTAGGAAAGAATTACTGTGCACGTTTTGCACAATAACGTTTGCGATATTTTGCAGAGATAATTAATTTTGATGTTCGGTCTGACATTTGTTTATGAATATTTAAAAGAGTTTTACTGTGCTTGCAAAGCAGAATATTTTTCTGTTCCGTTGGTTTGTTTTTATATGATGCACATATCGAAATGTCAAAGGCATTTATTTAATGGAAAAATCTAAAGAATGGCTACTGTCTATCCCCCCCTCCTCTCCTCTTTTTCAAATTACGCTCGACTGTCTGCATATTCGCCAATTTTCAAGTATGCGGGTAGTGAAGCTTTTACTGTTAAAGGATGACTGCAAGAAGCAAATTTCTGTCTTCTGTTTTCAGAAATGTTCCTCTTTTTTACTTAAATTACTTTGCTTGCAATATCTGTTAAGGGAAAACTGATATAGGGTGAAAATTTAGAAAATGTTCAGAATTTAGATTTAAATTAGTTAAATATCAATATGAGTGGAAAAATAAATTATATGTATTATTAAGTTCCAAGCGAATAGAATAAATATGCCTTATTATTATTTATTTCCTCTGTTTTGAACTGAAATTTCATCATTAAATCTTGTAATATAGTTTAGTTCTGCAATTTTTTTTTTATTGTAAACTAGTTCTGTGAATTGAACTGTTATTTAAAATTTAAAAAAAAAAAAAAAAAAAAAAAAAGTAATTATTTTCAATGGTTGAGGTAATGCTTATTCTCTCTTAATAAATACTGAATTTTTCATATTTTAAATTACGAGTCTAATTTTTAAGGTTATGCAGTTGTGTGTAATGTAATTAGACAGGTGCTTATTTTTTTTTCTTAAAATGTGCTTGAAAAGTGCTTATAGGTGCTTATTTTTTAACTAAAATGTGGCTATGAACCCTGAAACAACTGGTCATTTTGCATACAGACCTGTATTGTGCAGGCGTCTGCGCACTGTAGTAGCTGAGATTCTTGTTCCTGTTGTCACTAAATGATCTGCCATGAGCTAAAGCACATTAATGTTATTCCTCCTTCGGGCCAAAAGAGCTAAATAATGGTTTTCCGCAGGTGTTGTAATTTTGCCTGGAACATGTCTTTTAGACACAGAATCCTCGGATTCAAACTGATTTCATAGTCAGTGGACCAGACTACAAAAGACATTGAGACATCTAGCAGCATTAGCTTGCGACATCCCCATTTCCATCCATCCGATTGTCCGCCACCTCAACGAATTGGGCAATCTGACTTCTCCTGGGCACTGATAGACTCTTCAGGATATTGTCAATGAAACTGCTAATAACAATTGAAGATCAACACGATTGAACAAAACTTACAATTTTTACACTTCTGTATAAGTATTAATTTCTATAAAATAAAAGTTGTAGCTATTGTTTTTGCATATATATTCTTAAACTTTGTTATTATCATGCTTATAAACTATGAATTTAAATGTTACTGATATTTTTGTAACGGTGAGCTTTGAAAAACATGCTGTTCCTTAACTTTTGGAGGACTGTGTATGTTGAATATAGTCATAGTGAAACTGATGAGAATTTCTTGGATTCCTCTGTGGATAGTGATGAATCTGAAGAGTAATTTTTTATTTAAAGCATTTGACAATGATGCAAAATTGGTGTGCAAAATATTCATTGAACTCTTACTTCATTTGCTTTTCTTGGTAATCACCATGGAATACTTTATAAAAGGGACTTATATGCTTCATAAAAAGGATAACCTATTGAAAAATATAACTTTTTGAAAATTATCGAGCTAAGCAATTCAAAAGTATTCAGATGGGAATTCCAATGTTTACTATGGCACATGTAGTTCAACTTAATCCCATGAGACTCACTGCTCAACATTTTGCTAGCCATATACCCCCAATCCCATCAAGAAAGAGCCTCGTAGACAGTGTGCTGTTCATTGCTAAAAAAAAACTGAAACTGGCCCGAAAATTCAAAGATTGCGAGGTAGGACTTTTCCTCGAGTGTTGTTTCAGAGTTAATCATACTAAACTTCATTTCTAATACATGTTTTTTAAGTATTTTGCATGTTTTTATTAGGATATACATTTAACTTTGTATTTCATAAAATAAATGATAATTTAACCAAGATTAATAATCAAAATTTTGCTTTTATATGATTATTCTTCAGTTTTAAGTTTCCAACAACCTTTTTTTTTTATAATCTAATTCTGTATTGGGGGGGGGGGAGAAATCCTTTAAAACATTTTATGATATATTTTAATTCTAAAAATATATTTTAATTCTAAAATATATGTAGATTTGAAATGCGTGATTAAAAATATACATGATATTTGAACCTATTTTGATAAAAACATTATGCAACGAGAATGTTAAGTGATGGAATAAAGGTATTTTAAAATGTTGTTAAAAAATTTCGTATACATATAAATAATTTTAGTGAAATTATAAAGTTTTAAGTAATTATAAATTAGTGTCTCATATATAATGTAACATGAAATGCCTCAAATATACAAAGCTCCACCAGAAAAATAATGTTACAGGGGCAAGTCCATTTAACATTGAGGTGTCAAGCTGGTGATGGTTTTGGCAATTTCTCGCCAAATTTGTGTCACCACATTTGGCGAGAAATCGCCGGAAGTCGCCAAACTTCGTGACCATTTGCAACATTTTGGTCTGATTCTTATAGTTGGCCTGATCCGTATATATATAACTGTATCTGTATCCTCTCCTATATGTAACTGTATACACCTTCCAGCAATTTCGAGAAATGAAAGGTGCTCGGAATATCTCATGGAGTAGGAGAATACTGTATGAGATTCGAGAG